TTCCTTCCTTTCTCCTTTCCCCATCGCAAAGGAGGATCTTTCTCAGATGGTGAGAATCCTGTTCGTAGACAGGATTATGACAGTCGTTGCACATCTTGACCAACTTACTAAAAGACATTCAATTGTACACTTAGAATAGGTGAATTCAATAATGTGTAATGATATATGAAAGAAGCCAGATATGAAAGAGTATGTTACTGTATGATTCCATTTATACAAAGTCCCAAAACAAGCAAAATTGATCTATGATGCTAGAGAGCAGAGTGAGTCCCCTGAGGTGTGTGTGGGGAGGGGGGACTGATGACAAAAGACCAAGAAGGAACTTTCTGGGTAATGAAAATGCTCCATATCCCCATCTACATCTGTGCCTTGTTTTCAGTAATAGTTACTCAGACGGATAGAACTGCTAAAATCTGCCATACTGAACATTTAAGATCCGTGCACTTTACTGCATGCAAATGATATATGCATTAACAACACAATTCCTTGATATCATCAGATGATATCCAGTTCTGAATCTTCCAATTGTTTATTTATATATAGTTGCTTGATTTGAATTTGGTATATTTGGCCCAGTATAAAAATATTTTTACTTTTACTTCTACTGGGCCATATAGTAAATACAGTATCTGTTGTTACTATTATTATTGCATGGGCATCTTCTTCTTCTTCTCCTTCTTCTTCTTCTTCTTCTTCTCCTTCTCCTTCTCCTTCTCCTTCTCCTTCTCCTTCTCCTTCTCCTTCTCCTTCTCCTTCTCCTTCTCCTTCTCCTTCTCCTTCTCCTTCTTCTTCTTCTTCTTCTTCTTCTTCTTCTTCTTCTTCTTCTTCTTCTTCTTCCTCTTCCTCTTCCTCTTCTTCTTCTTCTTCTTCTTCTTAGTAGTAGTAGTAGTACTCTGCAGGCATATATTGCTAATACAATTTATAGCTATAAGTCTTATTAATACAATCATACTGAATCTTGAAGCCCCAGGCATATCTGGTGCTACAGATTTTCCTACAACTATGAAAGTCTTTGTGTTGGATTCAGGGAAAAAAGTACTGTATTTCATCCCCAGATTCACACTCACTTTCCAATATAGCTTTTCAGTTGATGCAAGGGGTGCACAGGTCTCTCTTTGACACTTTCTTTCTCTTTTTTTGGTACCGTGAATCGAACTCACAACCTCGCACTTGACAGGCAGGTGCTGTGCTGCTGAGCTATATCCCCAGCCCCTCTCTTTGACATATTCACATTCTAAATGGAGTATGTTTTCTTGTCCAAGCATGTGTTTTGATCTACACATGGGCTTTTTGAAAACAATCTCAATGTACATGTAAAAGTGGTAATACTTTGAATCACCAATTTTTCAAAGTCTCATTAACTTTCATGTAAATGCCAAGGTTTTTTGAAGGAAAAATAAACTGTGTAAAGTGATGAGAACTTTGGAAGTTGGATATTATTTTTATAAGCAGCATTTTCTTCTGGTCTGGGAAAGGTCATGGCATTTGTAAGTATGTGCTGTTTGCAGGGACTGTTGTTCCTTCTCCTGAAATGTAATAAGATGCAATGGATCTGTCAGCACAAATAGCTTTCAAAGACGACAAGTACAGTAAAATAAAATCAACGCAAACAAAATTATCCCAAAGTGACTTTTGAATAAAAAGTGGTTATCTCACTTTTCAAAAAATTTTGAAAGCAAAGCAAGCCAAAGGATTTAAAACATAAGCAAAGGCAATTTAATGTTCTTGAGAGTTTATAAGAGTATTTAAAATGGTTCTGGAGTAACTGCACATCCACAGACAAAAATGTTAACCTTGACCTAAACCTTGGACCTTATGAAGATTTTAACTTAAAAATTAATCACAGATTTAAATATAAAACACAAAACTATAAAACCGAATCGGGGAGGAGCTCAGTGATAGAGTCCATGCTTAAAAGTGCAAGAGCCTAGGTTGGATCCCCAG